TGGTGATTGGTAATTTTAATGAATAGAAGTAAGTTACTGTAAGTTTTCTTCTTTTTATTACTTTTGACATATAAGTTATTTATCAATTTCAGCTTTGCCTTTCTTTAAACAGCCTGATATTGACGGAATAGTCAGCAAAAATAAAATTTAGGTACCCCATGGGGAAAATCTTAAAAAAGTAGTTTCGTCATTGAAAAGTGTGAAATTATATTTTAATAATTTTCACTGTGAAATTATCAAATATAATTTTCAGGGATAAATCAGAAATCCACTGAAAAGCATAAAATAAATAATAATCATATACATGTACATATAACATGTAAAATATAATGAAACATTGAAATAAATATTTTTATAATTACTAAATTTGTGCATTAAATTAGTATTTCAAAGCAGCATTTATAAAGATATCAGTTTTTATTGTTTTCTACATTTCTAAACGTCTGTTCTAGAAACAGGACATTTCTTGGATAAAGAGACTGTCCTGAAAACAGGACTTTCATGGGATTATGGGACTCTCCTGGGAACAGGACTTTTCTGGGAGTTTAGACTGTCCTGAGAACTGGTTATTCCTGGGTTTATGGGACTGTCCTGGGAACAGAACTTTCTGGGATTATAAGATTGTCCTTAGATCAAGGCATTCCTGGGACAGCAGAGCAATATTTTTATTTTTTCCGTCTTCAAGAAATTCCTGGGATTGCCCCGTCCCATTTAACGGCGTGAAAATATTTCAGGATTATCTCAGGTAATCCTGGGAAGTTTCGAATACGGCTATACATTATTCTTGTTGTATGATCTTTTATGTTTAATAATTATACATGAAATTGCGTATAATAAAAACTATATGTCATGGTTTGCAGAAATCTGCAATTAATTTCTATAATATAAGACAGAAGAAACAAATTTCAATAGTTATATATTTTGTTTACAATCAAATAAACAAAAGTTGAGTTCGGTTTTCGACTATAGATGCGGGTAATGGTTCACTGCAAAGATCTGATTCACATGACCAAAATTACCGGTATTGTACGGGGTTTACGTTTCTCAGTTAATAAGATTCGCTAGAGCTTGTAGCAAAGTAAAGGATTTCAAAGAGCGGAATATTTTTATTACCTGCAAGCTTCTAAAACTGGGCTACCGCTATCATAGATTACGGAAATATTTAACTAAATTTTACAATCTCAACTTTGATGTAATTTCTAAATTCAATAGTGATTTAAAAACTCCTCTGCGACAAGGGATTAGCCAGCCTGGTTTTTATGGCTATGTGATTTACAAACTTCGTAAGATTTTTGGTCATGGTAATTTTTCTGCTGTTTTTACTAATTTAAAAATCATTAAACATTTTATTAATAGAAGTTATGACCCTACTCTTTTAAGACATACTGCATGTTTAGTGTTCAACCCTTTTACAGTTGGATACTACGCTTTCCATTTTTGATTACATCTGACGGACCAAGTGGGAGACTCTATGATGGATAGTTCTTAAAGCCCTTTAGGGACTGAATTGTCTTAATGTTCGTCTTCTGCCTTGCTTCGTCCGGCCCTTGTAGGTGATTTTCTTGTTGCTCTGTCTTCCTTTAGGACATTGGGTACTTTTGTTATGGTCATTGGGTTTACTTTTATATGTTTCTACATGATCATTTTAGTGTTTTACTTATTTAACCTTTTGTAACCATGACAACTGTAAGAATTTCACTTGGCGGGGATTCATTTTATTTACATTGTCTCGTTTATAGGAACATTGTTGGGCTAAGAGCGAGGTCTGGTGCACCATTAACCGGTTTAAACTCCCCAGCAGTCATTATAATGCTGATACCCCATAGGATAAAATCTTAAGATAATTAAAAACCATGCCTCCTTAAAAACTTTGATTACGTGAATTCAAGACTGAAACAACGATAGAATAATTCTCTCTGAAATGGTTTCCAGTTGATATACCCGCTTTCCAAAAAAAAAAAAAAAAAAAAAAAAAAAAAAAAAAACTAACATTGATTTATCATAATAATTTTACATGTGTTATATAATATATGGCTCGTGAATGCAGAGGGGTCAGATTTCAAGAATATTTAGTGTTAAGGTGTGGGGCGTGGCCCTTTCCTCCTGTGGTGATAGTAGTGATGTCATCCTGGGGGTCTGCATGCGCTGTGGGGAGGTATCTGACTCCCTCGGTACTGGACCTTGGTGTAGCAGTACTCATGCTATCCAGGTTCGTTAGGTTCAATATTCTTTTAGTCTGATGTCGCTGTATTCATTCTTTTATCAATCGTTCATATATTTTCTGTTGTAAAGTATGACAACAAAACAATGAAAATCATCAATATGCATTTAAAGTAGCTTTTAATATTTATTTATGAGTTTATGTTAAAAGGCACATTATTTCTTACACATTTATATATTGAAGACAATTTTAATGTATGACAATAATATTGTAAAGTGAGTTTTAAGGATCTTTAAGTTATATTGTATTAATATGTAAAAATAATTCCATAATTTATACTTTTAATTAGTTAATGCAAAATATTTTTAATGTTCATAATCCTGTTCATTTATATTGTTTTAGACATATATGATTGATGTAAAGCGCCTTTGAACATTTTAATGAAAAGGGCGCTATATAAATGTGGTATTTATTATTATTATACCCGAATGTATTTAATTTGCTCATATGTGCTTACTCCCTTTTGTCATAACCTTTGATTGATACACATTATCAAACAAGAGACGGTTGAACCAGGTAATGCTTCCCGACTAGGTTTTGGACACATAGTAGTTTCAGAGTTATGTCCCAGACAAAGTTCCAAGTGTGATAATACAAAACTGAGGCAAGGTAGAGTTACTGCACTTCTACTCAATGAGATCTAACTACCGATTTGTGTGCGACACATCGTCTCAATATGGTGATCATTTCTGTGAAATAGTTTTAAAATCCGACTGCAAATAACGAGGTTATGGGCCGGACACGATTATGCTGCAAGGTCATGCTGTGACCTTGACCTTGGAGGTAACGACAAAAATGCTGCGCGCGACACATCAACTCAATATTGTGGTCATTTCTGTGAAATAGTTGTATAATCCGTCTTCAAATAACGAAATTATGGGCCGGACACGATTTTGCTTCAAGTCATGCTGTGACCTAGATCTTTAAGGTAGCGACTAAAATGTTACGTGCGTCACGTCGACTTAATATGGTGATCATTTCTGTGAAATAGTTGCAAAATCCTACTTCAAATAACGAAGTTATGGGCCGGACAAGATTTTGCTTCAAGGTCATGCTGTGACATTGACCTTTAAGGTAGCGACCTAAATGTTGTGCGCCACACGTCGTCTCAATATGGTGTCATCTCTTTACAAAGTTGTAAAATCCGACTTAAAATAACGAAGTAATGGGCAGGACACGATTTAGCTGCAAGGTCATGTTGTGACCTTGACCTTAAAAGTAGCGACCCAAATGTTGTACGTGACACGTGGACTCAATATGATGATCATTTCTGTGAAATAGTTGTAAAATCTGACTTCAAATAACTAAATGATGGGCCAAACACGATTTTGCTGCAAAGTCATGCTGTGACCTTGACCTTCAAGGTAGCGACCCAGATGTTGCGTGCGACAAGTCGACTTAATATTGTGAACATTTCTGTGAAATAGTTGTAAAATCAAACTTCAAATAACGAAGTTATGGGCAGGACACGATTTTGCTGAAAGATCATGTTGTGACCTTGACCTTCAAGATAGTGACCCAAATGTTGGACGCGACATGCTGACTCAATATGGTGATTATTTCTGTGAAAATTTGTAAAATCCGACTTCAAATAACAAAGTTATGGGCCGGACACGATTTTACTTCTAGGTCATACTGTGACCTTGACATTCAAGGGAGCGACCCAAATGTTGCACGCGACACGCAATCTCAATATGGTGGTCATTTCTGTGAAATAAATGTAAAATCCATCTTCAAATAACAAAGTTATGGGCCGGACACGAATTCGGGACGTACAAACGGACGGACTGACGGATGTTATAACAGGAGAGTAATAATGTGGCTACTCTATTGTTCTCTCTATTGTTCTTTTTAGCCACACAAAAGAACATAGGCACATCAAAGCATTACGGAATGAATGAAATCAAAGAGAAAGAACAGTTACCTTTTGTCCTTCTAGCGACATAAGTACTGTCCTGTGAGTGCGGACGGACGAATAACCCGAATTTTTTCGGGGAGCATAAAAATATAACACATATTCGATCAAGGTAACATCCTAAAAGCATTCCTTCAGAATCAATTAGCAGCTACGAATATCAAATTTAAAAATTTCGATTTTTGATTATTATTTTTTCAAACTCTGCCGTTCGTATTGACGTATCAGAAGGTACGCTACTGGTGTGAAGTCTGTCGTTATGATTGAAAGAAATCATTTTTGTTAAGTGTACAATCGAAATAATTAATTACTTGAATGATTTTTCTTTTGAAAGCGGCCATTGTTTTTTTTTTTAAATAAACGGTGCGATATTAAAAATTATTTCATAATATTTATGTTGCCGAAATTATCTTTTTTATTTTAGTTCACATCTAACACCTAATGATTTTGAAACATTAGCAAAACCGTGTTTACTTTTTGAAATAGATTTCAGAATTGAAAAAAATTCATATCTTCAAAAATCTTGACTAAAATGTTGTGATGTCCTGTAACGGAAGATCAGTGCGTGGGAGATTGCGGGAAGTATTATTAAATGCATGTATAACTTCCTCTTGTGAAATAGGAGAGAGAATTAACATAAAATTCCTCTCGTAACAACATCAGATAAATCAGCTATCAGGGGTGCACAATTAGTTCCAACTGCCTATAATATGTAACCAAACTTGACAGAAATGTTATCTAATAAAACTTGGTCACAGGTCCTGAGTGTATATTGTTTAATGATTTTGCATTTCGTATAGAAAGCCTTCATTGAATAAAAGCAAGAAAAATAATATTTTCTCTTGCAAATGGTTTTGAATCAAAGATAATAATTTACCTTTAATAATTTAATGTGGCAATGTTGTATATTTAATGTAGAGAATTCGATAGTATTAATTAATAAAACTTGATATTTCTGCACTTTAGATTAATCTAAACAATTCTTGGGGTTTTATTAGTCCCGAAAAGATTGAGGAAAGAAAGGATTGGAACCACTTAAGTAAAATCAGATCAAATAGAAGGAAATAACGTAGCACAAACATGCATACAAATTTGAGGAAAACAGAATCTTTAAAAAAAATCCAACATGGTGGACACGAAAATGATGCAGACTTGGTTTGATTTAGCCTGTTCATGGACGGTAGTGGTAACTGCAAGCTACTGATCACGCCCTCTAGCATTTCATCGGCCAAGACAGAATAATGTTGTCAGTTTCTATAAAAATATATGTACCGGTATATTATTAATAAGAAAGTATGTGTCCTTTAAACAGTGACTTCCATTATTTTCAACATTCTGCTTCTGGACAATACTTCAAACCTTAACGTACAACACTATTAACTTACCCTTTTTGCGAGTTTGGTATTTTTCCTCCTCTGTTTGTATTGGAAAGTCTTCTCCTCTCCCTCTCTCTGCTAATAAAAAGAAACCCATGTAATCAATCTATATTATATTAGTCGTTTGATATTAAATTGATTATTACCATATACAGAAAAAAGGGTCAGTATTCATTTATGTAAAATGTTTACTTAAAAAACTCAAATCCTTCACGATGAACTTAGCTTATATAGTTCAGCAGTTAAATTATTATTTGCCATTTTAGCTCGACTTTTTCTCGTCCGTCCGTCAATTTAAAACGATATCTTTTCATAAACTACGAAGCCAATTTCATCCAAACTTCACAGGAATGTTCCTTTGGTGATAACCTTTGAAAATTAATCATAGAATTTAATTCCATGCAGAACTCTGGTTGCCATGGCAACAGAAAGAAAAGAAATCTTCTTTCAACGAACCCAAAGAGCTAAAGCTTAGATATTTGGTATGAAACATCTTCTAGTGAGTGTCTACCAATTTGCTGGGTCAAAATTGGCCACGCTACGGGGGCAATTGATTTTCCTGATATGTATTTCGTGAAACCTTTAAACACCTTCTTTAAAAAAACAAAAAAGCTAAAGCTAACATATAAATAATGAAGCGTCTTCAAGTGAATGTCTACCAATAAAAGCCCAGGGGTCAAAATTGGCCCCGCCCAGAAGGCCATTAATTTTCTCTACATGAGTGTAGTAAAAACTTAATAAATCTTCTTTTAAAATATCCACAATAGCATGAAACATCCTCTAGTTTGTTCAAACAAGATATATTTGTAAAACATGTATGCCACTATCGGCAGCCAATTAGTCATGTGATCAGGTTATTATGCATGACTTCTGACCTAGTGAACAAAAAATCAATAAGGGTTATCTACTGGTCATGACTAGTCACAAGGTAATAATTATTGTGACCGCATAGCAGCAATTTAAGTGATTACAAATTTTACCAAATAATATATGCATACATTTTATGAATCATGTAGGCCTCATTAATGGCAGCCAAGTTGTTATATTACATAAGACCTTCAAATGTGTATACGAAAAGCATTTTAGTTAAATATAAAAATATCAACAAAGGCAACTTGAGTTGTTGAGTTGTTGGTCAGAAACCATTTTTAAGTACAAAGTCAATATGACACTGACAACCCCTTGACCCCAAAATCAAAAGGGGTCATCTACTGGCCAAGACCAATGCACCTTCAAATATTGAGGGCCAGCAGCTATGGGCTTGTCAAGTTATTGATCGAAACCCGTTTCAACTACAAGGTTAATATGAACTTGACCTTTGACTCCTTGACCCCAAAATCAATAAGGGTCATCTTATTGTCAAGTCTTATGCACCTACGAAGTTTGGGGGCCAACAAATCATGGGATGTCAAGTTAATGATTGTTAGCCGTTTTTACCAACAAGATAAATATGACCTTGAACTTTGACCCCTTAACCCCAAAATCAATAGGGGTCCTTTTCCTGGTCATGAGCAATCATATTACTAAGTTTGAAGTTCGTAGTCCTCAACGTTCTTTATTTATTGATCGGAAACTGTTTTTTATCCCTTAGGTCAATGTGACCTAGACCTTTGACCTCAAAATTAATAGGGGTCATCTGCTGGTCATGAACAATCATTATACCGTGATTAAAGTTCATGGCCTAAGAGTTCTCTAGTTATTGATCGGAAACCGTTTTTACCTACAAGGTCAATGTGACCTTCATCTTTGACCCCTTAACCCCAAAAATCAATAGGGGGCATCTGCTTGTAATGATCAATCATCATACCAAGTTTAAAGTTCCTAGGTGTTAGCGTTCATTAGTTATTGATCGGACACGGTTTTTAATAACAAGGCAATGTGACCTTGACCTTTGACCTCTTGCCCCAAAATCAATAGGGGTCATCTACTTGTCATGACCAATCATCATACGAAGTTTGAAGTTCCTAGGTCTAAGCGTTATTTAGTTATTACACGTAATCGGAAACCGTTTTTACTTACAAGGTCAACGTGACCTTGACCTTTGACCTCTTGACCCCAAAATCAATAGGGGTCATCTGACCAATCATTTTTCCAAGATGAAATTCCTAGGCCAATGTTTTTTTAGTTATTTATCGGAAACCATTTTTACTAACAAGGTCAATGTGACCTTGACCTTTGACCCAAAAATCAATAGGGGTCATCGGTTTGTCATGACCAATCATCATACGAAGTTTGAAGTTCCTAGGCCTAAGCGTTCTTTAGTAATCACTTGGAAACCAATTGCTCTACGGACCGACGGACAGACCGACAGACAAATGCAAAGCAATATACCTCCTCTTCTTTGAAGTAGGGGCATAATAATAATACCTGTAACAAGTTGGTCAAAATTCTTTGATTTTCCTTATGTACACATCTTTTGAAACTTAGCTTTACCTCAGCTATAGCAACCAGTATAGTTTTTACATATGCACTATTTCAGATGCTTATTATCAGTTCAAGATTTAGATTTTATAATTGCTTTTGTTTATAGTTTACAATATTACTTGTTCCTTGTCATGGAGCGTTTTTATATTCAGGCGAGCGATTTCAGGGTCATCATGGCCCTCTTGTTTCTGTAATTTTGTAACTGGCTAAAACTTTTTTTTATTTATAAATGGATGAACTTCGTATAAAAACACATCTTTTAGGTTAGCACCTTCGTGTATTTCAATCTCAAACTTAACCTTGACTCATGTGTTACCATGACCTTTAAGGTCAAATTATTTCATTTTCACCGATTATCGCCACTATTGGCTGTAACTTTGTAATTAATAGATGGATTGTTTTCATACTCGGATAAAACAACCTTTTGGACAAGACATTCTAAAAGGTTGAACTGACCTTGACCTTGAGCTTAGAATGACATTGAATGTCAAGATCAAATAATTAAATTTCGATTAATTTTCCATAATAGTTAATTATGTACGGTTTTGTTTCTTATACGGACAAAACAATACTTGTGACCAAACATACATGCAAAAAAATAAGATATGACCTTGATATTTATATTGCATTGACCTTCAAATGATTGAATTTTGATTATATTTTCTTAAGTTTGTCATCTATTTATGGAATGGATTCATGCTTGGACAAAACAACAAGTGTGACTAGGCAGACCTAGTAAAATTAAAAGAAAGACAATTTTTTTTCTTTACTTTTCTTGTAAGAATTGTTAATTTGTTTGCTTTTTGAAATTGCAAAAAGTCTAGCGTTGCCCCTACCGGTGGTGGCTTTTTTTTAAGTAAAGGTAATCTTTAAGTACTCGTATAGGCAGATCCAACGGATTAAATGTTGACTTACTGATCCTGTAACATAATTTTTTATGGTTTTAAATCACAATATGATTGATCAATATTGTAGGCTCCCAAAAAGCATTATTTATAAAGATATTACCGAATTTTACATTTCATGTAAATAAAGGCAGGTAATCAGAAATTTATTTTCAATAAAGTTTACGTCAAATTTTACAATAATAAATGAATGCATATATTGAAATGATGACATATAATGTGCATAAATATTTGCAGTACATATTTTACATATTCTAAGATGTTTGAAAATTGTTTTATTTGCATAATTATGTACATACATATAATTTCACTTAGTGTGGTTAACCACTTTTATCAGTTTATTAATAAATCAATACTAGTATTCCTCTATCTTTTATGATATGTTAGTTTTACTCAGATTCATGACTTAACAAAAACAAATTTACATTGTACATATTGTGTAAATTTATTGATCTACGCTAATTGAACAAAATAGATCTAGAATTATAAGTTAATGCTTATAAGAAATTTGAAATATTAAAGGAGTTTGATAAATGGAAATATCTCTTTCAAATAGAATTTATTTTCAGTGTGCTGTCAAAGATGCAAGATAGATGGACACAAGTATTTTATTATAAATTATATACATGTATTGTAAGCGCTTTGTACTCTTGTACTTAGTCATAAATTCATGAAATAACCCACCTGTCTGTGGTCGTCTTTTGACCTCTTCAAGGTCTTCCTGTACTTTTATTATATTTCCCTTTACGTCATCAAGGTCATTCTTTACTTCAGTAATATTTCCTTTTACGACATCCATGTCACTCTTTACTTCAGCAACATTTTCTTTAACGTCATCAAGGTGACCCTTTACTTCAGCAACATTTTCTTTCACGTCATCCATGTCACTCTTTACTTCAAAAACATTTTCTTTCACGCCATGAATGTGACCCGTTACTTCAGCAACATTTTCTTTCACGTCATGAAGGTGACCCTTTACTTTAGCAACATTTTCTTTCACATCATCAAGGTTAGCCGTTACTTCAGCAACATTTTCTTTCACGTCATCAAGGTTACCCGTTACTTCAGCAACAAATGCTTTCACATCATCGAGGTGACCCTTTCCTTCAGCAACATTTTCTTTCACGTCATCAAGGTCACTCTTTACTTCAGCAACATTTTCTTTCACTTCATCAAGGTGACCCTTTAGTTCAGCAACATTTTCTTGCACGTCGTCAAGGTGACCCTTTACTTCAGCAACATTTTCTTTCACGTCATCAAGGTCACTTTTTACTTCATCAACATTTTCTTCCACTATATCAAGGTCACTTTTTACTTCAGCAACATTTTCTTTCACGTCATCAAGGTCACTCTTAATTTCAGTAACATTATCTTTTACGTCATCAAGGTCGCTCTTTACTTCAGTTACATTTTCTTTCACATCATCAAGGTCACTCTTAATTTCAGTAACATTTTCTTTCATATCACCAAGGTCACTTTTTACTTCATTAACATTTTCTTTTACGTCTCCCATTTCCTGTTTTAGTCGATCAACATCTGCTTCATAGTCCTTGCATTTCTTTATTTCTTTATTTATCCTTCTTTCTTCCTCTGGATCAAGAGAACACGACTTGAAATCGGCAATTGTTTGATGCATATTGAGAGCGGGAGTGTTTTGTCGAATAAGTATCTAAAAACCGAATGTGATAGGAATTGTGAATTTAGCATTTGTTTTTATACCAGTTTTCAATTTTATTTTCAAGTTATTGCTTTTGTTCATTTGTATTATATTACTGCTTTATCGGTCACTATTTGAAGATATTCATATGAAGAGAGCACTTATTTTTATGATTATATAAATTTGATGAAGAAAATAAAGAAAAAAACATATTCATAAATACAACCTTGACACAAACTAATTTTAATGTCTTTATTATTCATGACAATATTTTTTATACAAATCTATAAGAATATTTTAGAAAATACTCATATGATGTAAAAACTTAAGTTGATACAAAGTTCCACCTGAAAGCTAGTAAATACCATAAACAATAAAAACATTTTTTTCTGTTGAAAGGAATAAAGTAAACTTAAATAAATAAATTTTTAAAGGATTGCATTGGAATGTTTTTAAGAGGAGAGAAACAATGTTTTAAAGCCTATACGCTTACCTTCTCGATTTCATTCCACAAAGTTGTAAACTCATTTTGTTCTATTCCAGTTGTTGTTGACATATGACAGATCTGCAATAAATACTCAATTTTTAGTAATGCAGAAAAAAGCCCCGTAGGTATAAATAGACTGGAACATGTTCTGTCGAAGTTTAGGTGAAAAGGGGATCGTGCAAACTTCTTTAAGTTGTAGGTGTAAGGGTATACAAGTTATTGTTGACACAAAACATGATAAAATAAAAAGAATTATATTTGCTAAAAAATATATTTATACTTAAAGTACAATGAAGTTTAAATAAATAAGATCAATCAACTTATAACGTTTCAGGTCACTAACATTTAAGTATTATTTCAGATCATCATTGTATGCAATCCACAAATATCGCGAAGTAATTGATAATTTATTTTACGTCCTTTTCTTAATAACATGTACTTACATGCTGTCAAATATGTTAATATAGAACTAAGATATCCGTTTTACTTTTCGTTAGTTTAAGCATTTAAAATATAATTGTTGTATAAGAGGTGTTCATCTGGTTGCTTCTTTTGCATGTTAACACAAAAGATTTCATACTAATATAGCAACAACTTTTCTCATATCATACTTACTTTATTCCGGAAATTTCTCAAACGACATATATCTGCCTCAACTGTTAAATCGGTTTCTGCAGGTGTCGCATTCCATTTAAATTTCTTATTCAATCCGAAACATTTAAGGTTTGCAAGAAGGAAAATGATAAGCGTAATGTCCATATCTGCCGTAGTAGGGTCTTGACCCCCAACTGGAAACAATAAGTCATATTGAGCCTGGCTGATAACGTCACGGCCATGCAATCGTGTAATTTTTGACCTTTCATTATTAAGACATGTCTTTAAAGTTATGCCTTTGGCAGCTATTGTCTGATCAAGTATACTTCTCAATACAAGCAGGCCTCCATCTATTATTAGAATTTGCAAACGGAATAGATGTGTCCGATTTTCTGGATCTCCAGGTGCCATTTTAGTCTTCTTGATTTCTCACATATTTACCATAGCCACATCTATTAATAAATAAACAAATCAAAATTTTTAGGTTATTTGAAAATCGATTTATCAGTATAATAAAAGTGAGGCTTTGCAAGCCTTGGACAGTGTTAATATTATTGTTCTGCTTTTCCGATTTTTTAAATCTGTCGAGAATTTAATAGAAATATCAAATAATTTAGATTCAAATAATTGTGGATATTTGAATGATGTTCCTAAATATTTGGATGCATAGAAATATTACATCTCTATCGAAGGTTGTTTTGCCTTTGACCTCCCGAATTCGTTGAATATTTTAAGGCTTAGTCCATGTTCGATATATTTGATACAATCATAGAATATCAGAACAAAAAACAACAAGAACTATCGCTGAATGTGATTCATACCCTCACCAATGTCCTTGACAGATGACAACTTGGAAATGCGGTTAAATGTTGGAATAACTTGAGTGGCACAAGTGTACAGGTAATAGTATAAATATATATTGTCAAATCATGTTTGAAACAGTTACAAATAACCTTTCATTTTTCCAATGTACTAAACATTTTCTAAGTCAATTTTTGACCTTCAAGTGTGGCCTTTGACCTTAAGCTGGCACAAAAGTAAAATGGATTCTGCACATTGCCCAGTTTGGGTGAACATTTGAGTAAAGTTGGAAGAAAATCCTTCCATTAGTAAAGAATTTATAGAGCGGACATGACATATTGTCTAGTATTGAGTGTATGTAAATTTAAAGACTTAAAAAGGGGCATAACTTTGTCAAAATGCATTACAGAGTTATGAAACTTGATCTGCATATCTTATTTGTGACACCTCATATATCTTTTAAGTTTCAAGCAAATACCTGTGCTAGTTTCAGAAATATTCAATTAACTGTTAAAATTTTAGACCTTTTTCTTCAAGTGTGACCTTGACCTTTAGCCAGCACAAAGTTAACATGGATTCTGCACATAACCTTGTTGAGGTGAACATTTGAGCCAAGTCTGAAGAAAATCTTTCAATTAGTGTAGGACTTACAGAGCGGACACGACATACTGCTAATATTTGATTGCTTGATATTTGACCTTCAATTGTGACCTTGACTTTGAGCTGACACATGGGCAACATGGGTTCTGCACATCCCCTTTGTTGAGGTGAACATTTGAGACAAGTTTAAAGAAAATCCTTCAATTGGTATAGGATTTATAACGCGGACACGAAAATGGAGATGGACGGACGGACGGACCGACGCGACAAAGCGAATCCATTATAGCCCCTCCCCCGTCCCATTTTGTGGTGGGGGTATAATAACTGTGAGATTAGATAAGTGTGCGTTCATGATACTTCAAATATCTTTAAATAATGATTAGGTTGAAATATAAACGACCGATAAACTGATTTGAAGTTAACATAGACATATTTATAGATCTATGTATTATTAAAATTAAAGATGTTCCACTGGTTTCCTAGCAGTTTCCAGCCCCTAGCAGTTTTCCGGCCCTTTTATATTTTTGCCCAGTACGGTCTATTTTTACCAGTAGGGCATCTATGTTACTTCATTAAATCAGAGAGACATTTATTTTCTATGCAACACAGCAGTTGAAATAATAAAGCGATTTGTATGTTTTGAAGTTTTGTCTATTGTTTTAAGTTACCGTAAAGAACATTACAAAATAAACACCACCTGGGGAATTCCTTTTTAAATGGCCATGTGCAATAACTGACACCCAATTCCAGGTAAATCAATACTTTTGAACAATATATTTGCATAAGACGAAGTTCTATTTCTTTGATCGATCATCTCAAAGATCCTGTATGTTTTGTGATTAATATTGATAATTTGTGTATACCTCACTTGCAAAAAAATATATATGTTTATAATTATGCAAATAAAACAAATTTCAAACGTCGAGGAATATGTAAAATGTGTACTGCAAATATTGCTTCACATTATATTTAATCAATAAATTATATGCATTCATTTCTTCTTGGAAAATTTGACTTAGAATTTATAGAAATTAAATTTCTAATTACCTGCCTTTATTTACAAGAAATGTTAAATTCGGTAATATCTTTGTAAATAATGCTTATTGGAACTTACAGTATTGACAAATCTTAATTTGAGCATCATATTTATGAAATAAAACCATGAAAAAATTGTGTTACAAGATCTTTAACATTCCTTACTGGTACTGAATTATATTCAAAATAAAAAAGGTCCTAAAAACTGCTATGAGATTTTGAATAAACGTGAGAAAGGCTGTTACATTCAGGCCTATATTCAATTAAAAAGTAAAGTAAAAGAGCAACATTGAAAAATGGTTATACAAGACAGCAACCCTACCTTACTTTGATATGCCAAAGTTCTGTACTCGCCCGTAGACAGAGTTTTATTTTATTTTTTGAAAAAATGCGATTAGGGGCGGACATTGCTAGGAAACCAATATGTGTAAATTTGATTTTTAAAGATATTGATAATTGATGCTCAAGCTTTTTGTAAATAAAAACTTGTTTAGACTTCACACAAAGTAGATATGGTTTGCTTCATATCCTGTGTACACTATAGCAGGACACACTATTTATATGTAGTGTCATTAACAAAATGTCAGTTTTGTTTTAAAGAACCAGCTTTAATAAACTCGTAAGAATGATAGTTGGAATGCAGATTCCCATAAATATGTCATAGCTTCTTTGATTGAAATATTTATATATTTATAAGAACTAAATATAATTCAATATTAAGTTTCTGCAGTAAAAATATTTTTCTCAAAGATATGAACACAGAATATCACACTACTAATGAGGGATCTATGTCTAAACAGGAAAATGAAAATCGAAGTTTATTTTTGTTATTACACAATTTAGCTTAGGTTTATGTTCGTGAATTTAATTAAAAAGCTGATAAGATATAATAAACATAATTGATAAAGACAACTTTTGACATCTATGAAAGATGGCCCATTCCATTGGGCTCTGTCTCGGCTTTTCTGAAAGCAATGTTATATTGGTAAATTCCCGATATCCCGGCTATTTCTTTATCGGTAAGTGAGAGAGAATAGAGTGACAGAGAATCAAATTCTATATTACTCAAGTTTGAATCATCTCCCTTTATGATGAAAGGTAAATTGTAAAGAAATTTAAGAATACATCTAAAATATCTTCACCAGAAGTACTCGTGATATTTGGCAAGGAGCATCAACGTCTCGTTTTCTAGACATGTTTAATTTATAGATCACTTTCTCGTTCAAAATTCGCCTCTGAGTTTTGGTCACATATTTTACATAAAGGTTTTTCGGAAAACGCAGCACAACTCTGTGAAACTACATATACTAGATAATATAACAATAGCTAGTAGACCTCTATCAATGTATCCTATATCGATTGTCAATTTTGTATTAAATGGGCCAGCCTTGAGGTTAATTTTGTAATATTGACCAACATGGAAGGGATAATTACAGCTATAGGCGATAGCTGTTCTAACAAGGACATTTATCACTTGTCATTTGCACACCAGTCTATAAATAATGGCAGCAAGGGTAAAATTGAAAACATTAAACCCGTGTCATTTACCTTTGTGTCCTCTTAATTAATTTTAAGTTAGAGAAACACCTAAGATATCTTGAAATCTTGAAAATAATTTAAACGACATCAATTAAATAGTTAAAATTGGATCAGCTAAAGTGTAAAATACTTTTAGTTATAGTGACCTTGATACAATAGACAAGACACCTTAGTTCCCATTAAATAAGAAGAAATTTCTCACTGAATATGAATAATGTTAGTCATGTTGGACCAATTCAGCAAAATTGTAAAAGCATTAAGTACGGTTCACCAAAGTAGCAGGATTATGTATCATAAAGGAGAAAATGAAAATTAGATGACTCGATAATTTAGATTTATGGCATTGAGATCTCCCATTTAAGTCTCTTAATTGTCACTCAGTGATAGAAGGTTATACTCCGAACAAGCATTATCAAAACTATTTTACTAATCTTTAAAGAAAAAACAATAAGCAATTCAGAAATATGTTGTGTTTCATTTTGTAAAATGAATTTTCAAGATTATCTTCACACAAGCATAATTAGACATTATAAAGGATGATAATTAAAAATTAGTAAGATAGAGTTAATTTTTTTGACATGCATTTCCTTACACGTGTCTTTTTTGATATTTTTATAATGAAAAAAAAAAGAATTATATGAACTTTAAGTATGTGTTAAGAGATAGATAGATGTAACCACTGTGATAACTATTAAATCATTTGTTAAATATAATACATTTATTTTTATTCTTTGCCGATTAGCCAATCAATAAAAATAGAAATTGTCACAAGTGCCGAATATCCCCGACACCTGCTTGTAAAAAAACATGCATTTCAGTTAATAATTTTGCTCATACGGAGAATGTAGTAGTTCATAGTGTTTTTTTTTTCAAATGCTTTTGAAGTATTTGTTCTACATCAATAAGATAATTTAAATACTCAGTGAAATCTATATACTTTCAATACCTTTAATAATTATCTATTTATGTCCCGGACAATTTAGTTCAGTATAAAAATGAACAAAGGGCAATATCTCCAAAGGGAAGTTTGGGGTTCTTATGTACGGCACTTCAGTGAGATCTATCTACGTACAAAGTTTGATACCTTTTACATCCAGGAAAATATTCAAAATGTGAAAATGAACGAAGGGTTATAACTTTTGAATTAGGGTAGGGGTTACGGTTCTTTTACACTGCATTTCTACTCATTCAGATTTATCTCCCTGCAAAGTTTTAAGTTCCAAGTTAAAAAACTAAAAAAAAATGGCAACAACTCCAAAATTAGGTAGGGAGGGTTACAGTTCTTAAGTTCTTATGCTCCGTACTTCCACGCAGTGCGATCTAAATACTTACAATGTTTGAAGTTAATGCTTTTCATAGTTCTCAAGTTTTGTCTCACACAAAGTTCAAAGTGTTAAAATGAATAAAGAGCAATTACTTCAAAATTTGGAATGAAAGTTTTACGGTTCTAATTTACTTCACTTCTACTCAGTA